TTTGTTTTTTTATTTACACTAATTGATTTGTTTGGCTGTATTTCAGTAAAAAAAATGGCAGAAGGTTGAACTATACACCTATTACCCTCTCTTGAGAGATAAATAAATTTGCGTTGCGAGTGTTTGGTCAATTTCACACATTTTCGAATTTTAGCTCGGAGAGGGGTTCATTTGCGGACCCATGTTTATAAGAAAAAAAAGTCTTATTTTGACTTCTAGAACACGCTCCCAAAGTTTAGTGCATCATTTCAGATACACCCTGTATATTAGGTTGCAATAACTAAAATGTCGTATTATATTGAGTTGAACGGAAAGTTCGTGCTGTTTATTGCTAACAGATAAAGACCAAAAAAACGGCACAAACTTCCGTTCAACCCAATATACAGGGTGTCCCAAAGCACCCTTGACAACGCTCGTGAGCAGATAGAGCATAGTAAACTGAACAGAAAAGTCCTGTACCATTTTTTTTTATAACACTTAATAAAGGAGTTATTATTGAATAAAATCTGGCCAATCAGCGCCGACTTTTAGCCGGACGTACGTCGGTGAGCCGCTCGCCTGGTAGTGTGCGCCGCCATAGCGACGGAGCGCTCACGCACACTAGGCGCGCGGCTAAAGATCGGCGCTGATTGGCCAGACTTTACTCAATAATAACTCTTTTATTAAGCGTTATAGAAAAAAATGTTACAGGACTTTTTTGTTCAGTTTATTGTATTCTACCTGCTCACGAGTGTTGTCAAGGGTGCTTTGGGACACCCTGTATAGGGGAAAGTAGGGTAAAACCGGATACTTTTTTGGATTTGGCTTCCTACAAAAAATCTGAGAGTAAAAACAATTTTGTCGACCGTTAGTAATCGGTAGTGAACCTTAAACTATGAAAAAATAAGGCTAGTTGCTGAAAAAAAATTTTTGGTTACCAAGAATAACAAGATTTTCTGGAGAAGTCAAAGTATCTTGTGTATCCGGTTTTGTCCTACCGGTAGGGTAAAACCGGATACCCATTTGAAAATATGCAAAACACCGTGTAATTATAAAATCTAGATTTATTTTAATCAAAATACAATATAAAGATGTATTCTATTGACAAAAATCACAAATGAAGATGTCCTCTTGTTCGACATTGCTGCAGGATTTCCTTATTTAACTTTTTAACTTTTTAACTTTATCTCAAAAAGCTTTTTTTTTTAGCGATTTCTTTTTCTGAGTGTTAGTTTTCATTTCCAACTGCTTTGTGTAGGGAGATGAAGTCAGGATAACAGTTCTTCCTCTTTTTATTGCATAAAATGTATAAATATGGTTTTGCCCCAACACAAGGAAAGTAACAAATACGGCTTAATATATATTGTATATTATTTTAAATCTTAATGCTCAATCGTTTAGAAATATATTCTTATGTGATATTCTTGCTATGTTACAGTATTACCACACAGATTATTGACAATAAAAAAGGTCTACATATACATATATAATTGAAGATCTGCAACAAGTGTAACCAAGGACAATTTAATCTTGCGGCGAATCCAGACATTAAGAGTAAAAGATTTAATAGATCAGGTAAGTTTTATATCATTTTTAAATTTTGGTTTTATAGTGAAATTAATTAAGCCATTTTTCATTGCAATTGGCTTTTACAATGACTTGAAGCTGACTTATTTAAGGCCTCCGCACAATCGAAAATATAAGGAGGAGGAAATAGATATTAGAGATAAAGAACTGACTTTTGTTAGCAACTTAACTTAACTTTACTTTGTTAAGCAACTTTCTCTTTTTTTTAACAGCGTCACCGGATGGTAACTTTTAGCGTGTCTTCAACCTGTCTTTCCAGGTTATGTGACACAATATCTCTTGCGAGTAACTTTCTTTTCAATTTTTCAGGTTATGTGGTGTGTACAAGCTATCGCTTATATTTTTTATGTGTTAAACTGTTCTTTATTTCTTATTCCTTATTTTTAATTGCTAATGTCTGTTCCTTATATTTTTGATTGTGCGGGTCCTTTAAGTTTACTGACATTATAAGAAATGACATTTTATATTGAAGAAATATTATGCGTGCATATATAATAAAATTAATCTTAGTACCTTTATCTTAATTAAAATAATATGCCGTATCTTAATATAAATTATACTAATTAATAATGTAATTAACAATAAAATTAATATAGTACAAAAATTTTTTAAAAATTAACAGTATATAATATGAACTAAAAATAGTATAATATTCTCTATAAAAATAATAATACTCTCTTTCTCTCTCTCCCTCTCTTTAAAAATAATACTAATAAATATTATAACATATTTGAACAGAAATATTGCAATGAATCGAAAATGGTTCAGAAAAGACATTTCATGTGTGTCAAAACGACATTTAAAACGGCTAGCTACACAAGAATCCGAAATTGTTTGTGATGCTTTATTAAGCACGACTGCAGCGTCATCTTATAGTAACATTGATTGAATAAATGCACAGAACATTTGGAAACTGTTTCTACAGTTAATTCAGATGTAATAAATATTTAAAGTGCTGAAAATGCTGTAACCGAAAAATATTTTGTTTAGGAATGAAACGAAAAGAATGATATAGCGAACGTGCAACAATCCTCCATTAGCGATTCTTATGAATCAAAGATTTATTTAGTATCTGAAAATGCAAATATAATAGATGGCAATTTGAAAAATTATCTTGCTTCCTGGGTTGTACAACATCAAATTTCACATACGGCTCTAAGGGCACTGCTTCAGAGATTAAGAAATCATTCGTGTTTTTCATCATTATCTTTAGATGCACGTTTAATTTTAAAAAATCCGAGAAAACAAGAGATACATATAGTAATGCCAGGAATGTACTATCATTTTGGATTACAAAAATCTGTATTGAATATATTAATTTCCATAAAGAGCAATGTTGATAGTATAGAAATAGCTATTAATATCGATGAATTACCACTCTCAAAATCATCAGAACAACAATTTTAACCTATACTTGGTTCAATTATTCCATATAATAATGTATTTGCAATTGGAATTTATTACGGAACAGAAAAACCCGCAAATGCAAACGATTTTTTAAAAGAATTTGTGAACGAGGCTACAGAAATGTGCGAAAATGGAATTTATGTCAATGGCCGTACATTGAAAGAAAAATGTATTCAATCCAAAAAGAAAAAACTTGTTATGAGTAAATGATTTGGTTAAATAGTACCAATGGACAATTAATTTGAATCAAATTAAAATATTGTTTAGAATGAGATACTGTCTGCTGAAAAGTAATGAATTATTTATTATATTCGAGATACACGAAGTGAAATGTAAAAATTATTTATTTATATAACTATTTTATTTACTATTTTTTAATGTTGCGCTACTAAAATTGAGTAACTATTTACCAGATTTAAATAAACAATTGTTCAATTTAAATATTTTACAGATTAAATCTTAATAAACACTTATCGTAGTAACAAAATATTAACTTAAATTCAATTAATCGTTTCATGAAAAACTCTTTCATAGATTTCAAATGAATTAAATATTTACTTATTGTTAGAATTTAGCATTCGAAATTAAAAAGCATTATCTCCTTTCAAATAAATTTTTGTTTCATTAGACATAAAAATAAGATGGTTCCCTATAAATATTTTATTAACTTATTAAATATTTATTGAAATGAAAAACATCATTTATCTAAAATAATTAAAATTGGTTTAAAATTGAATTTATATTAATTTCATCTTATATATTAAATATGAAATTAAGTGAAATGTTGTTACGGCATGCAGGCAGGTGATATACGGGAGCGTCCCGTTTGACCACGTTGATATTTACCACGGTTCCGATTGACCACGGTCCCGATTGACCACGTTGATATTGACCACGACGTCCTATTGACCACGGTCCCGATTGACCACGGTCCCGATTGACCACGATTCAAATTGACTACGGACCCGATTTACCACGTTGATATTGACCACGGTCCCGATTGACCACAGTCCCGATTGACCACGGTCCCGATTGACCACAGTCCCGATTGAACACGTTGATATTTACCACGGTTCCGATTGACCACGGTCTCGATTGACCACGTTGATATTGACCACGATCCCGATTGACCACGTTGATATTGACCACGGTCCCGATTGACCACGTTGATATTGACGTAAATATTGAGCATGTTAATATTGACCACGGTCCCGATTGACCACGGATCAATACATGTCGTTACTAGGGCATGTACTTTGCAAGTTGTAAAGCGAGGTCCATTGTGCCTGACTGGCGGAGGGGGTGCGTTAGGGGGGGGGGCGAAAGCCCCCCTTGCACCTCCCCGCATGTGTGTGTGTTACATGGTTTTTCAATCGGGACCGTTGTCAATATAAACGTGATTAATCGGGACCGTGGTCAATATTAACGTGGTCAATATCAACGTGGTCAATCGCAACGTGGTCAATCTCAACGTGGTCAATTGGGACCGTGGTCAATCTCAACGTGGTCAATCGGAACCGTGGTCAATATCAACATGGTCAATCGGGTCCGTGGTCAATTTGAACCGTGGTCAATCGGGACCGTGGTCAATCGGAACCGTGGTAAATATCAACGTGGTCAATCGGGACTGTGGTCAATCAGGACAGTGGTCATTTGGGACCGTGGTCAATATCAACGTGGTCAATATCAACGTGGTCAATCGCAACGTGGTCAATCTCAACGTGGTCAATTGGGACCGTGGTCAATATTAACGTGGTCAAACGGGTGCCACTCATGTGATATACTCGCCGTCGTCAAAACGAGTGCTGTGCAACAGTCCCCCAAGGTGTTGCGATCCATACAGAACTTTCAGTGTACCGTAATTAATACATGTGCATCAATTATATATATTAATAAAGGAAACTTTATAAACCTTGGCAAATTATTCAATCAATAGTCATTTAGTACGAAAAAGGTATTTTGAAATAAATAAATTATAGCATTTATTTTCTATAATTATTACATTTATTAATATTCTACAAATATAAATTTATATATAAACATTTATTTATAGTAACATTTTTATTTTGAACTCAAATCAACTTCTTTTGCTTATACTAAGAAAAAAATGTACATGGAATATAATTTCTTTCATTAGACAAGAAATGTTTTTTATAAACCTTATAGTCTACGAGTATGTTTTGCTGTATTGTGACCCAATTGTTACTTTGTTTTACCTCAAACGATTGAAAATGGTTGCAATAACAAACATTAGAATATGCTTGACACAGAAAATAAACTTCTTTCAGAGAATTTACTAATATATACTTAATTTTTGCAAATGAAAAATGGAAGTTATTACTCATATTTATAATATTATTGATTGTGTAAAATGTACCATTGACCCTAACCCATGAAATTGAATCATAATCATAAAACGATTCGGAAGGTAGAATCTGCTTAATGTTATCAAAATCTTCAACTAAAAATAATTTTGATTGTATCGCTCCTTTAGTCACTTGTAATGAAAAACCTTCGTCATTAATAAATCTATTACAAAGATACAACTGATGCCTAACAGCAAAAGTATAGGATGGATTCTTGCGCGATGTAACTACTTTACTATTATTCTTAAACATTTTATGCTTGCCTTCAAAACGGATAGAAGACATATGTTTTAATGGGCCAAATTTACGCATAAGCTGACCATAATGAAGTAAATTATGATGTTTTATTCTGAGTTTACCCTCAAAAAGCTCCAAGTATAATTTCAAATATTGCGAGACGGTGGATGAAAAAACATTTATTATTTCATTAGAAATAATATCGAATAAAACAATATTAGTGATTTGACGCATCATGAGATACAGTTTCCACGTCGGATTTCCTATAGGGACTAAATCGCCAACAAAAATAACCAAATTATCAACAAGATAATGCATTTCCGAAGCAGTAAGAATTATTTTTTTATTTTTTATTGCTTCATGTTTTAAAACGGAAGTTTTTATCACGACTTGAACTGACAGTACAAATTCTTTCATTTAATATTTCTATAGTAAAGAACTTATATTTATCAATGAGATTGCTCAAAACTTTAGCCATATCATAACGGCAAATGCCTTCAAGTATATCGTGCATAGGGTCAACTGACGCGTTGTTTATTACATGATATCCAGGGATATCATTGAAAATGTATTTTTTAATTACACAAAAAGAATGTTTAGAAGCATGTTCTGAATAATTATCAACTGTCCTTAAAATTGGGAATTTTCTAGTGTCATATTTTGTATCTGTTCTTCAGTGGCTACACATATTCTACAACAATACGACTGATTAAAATTTTTACTAAACCCAAGAATAGTATTTAAACCTAAGTTATCCCCTACTATATAACATAATTTGAAAAAAACCCTTTTCTCTTTATCATTTTTATTTATAACAATCCCATGACTCACAAGCTCTCGAATTTCATTAATAACATTAATAAAAATTTTGTTATTGCCTAACAATTTATGGTCCTCATATTTATGCAATTGGACTAAAAATATGTTTTCTAACTTACTCACATATTCTGGTGGCAAACATGGAATACAGCAGTACACTGCCACAAGTTTATTTTTACATTTTTGAGAACCCAATGGATTGTTGATTTTAAAATCGTCAAAATAAATTATGAAAGGAAGAATATATCCACTTATTTCGTTTAACGCAGATTCCCAAAATTGTCCTTGAAAAACTTACTGTAAATCTTTATTTATTCTGCATTTTACAACAAATAAATCTATTGCATCGAACACATTTGGGAGTTCCAAAAAACGTTTTAAAACAAATTTTAAGGGAATGAAACTTAACTTACTACAATAAACTTTGTTTTGGGAAATTTTTCTGACTTTTCCGAAATTCAAATATGTCCGAACAATTATATTTTTAGGCAAAAGGGACAATTTATTTGTTCTAAATACTTGAAAGTCTTTCTCTCTGATTTAAGGAATGCAAAACCATTTTTTATTATGTTTAAAGAAATGTTCAAATTATTGTTATTTTTACAACACTGTTGTAAAGCTTGTATACTCGTTGCTAAATAAGTTTCACTTACAGTTTTAATAATTTTAAGTATTGTTTCTCTACTTAATGTTAAGTCAGCATACAGTTTTACTACAGTACAAAGAGCCGATTTAAAAACAGTTGATTGGTAAATGTCAATATCAAACTTTTCATCATTTACGGAATCATTCATTTCAATCGTCTTATAAATCTTTTCCTGACCCTCATTAGAATTGTTCGAATTAAAATTAGAAATAGTTGAAGTCGCATCAGAAAATTCAGAAGCGTCTGTATCAAAAACAATATCACTTATTTGCTTTGAAGTTATACTTGAAGCTAATTTTGTTTCTGATATATGTTTATTGAGAACGTGTCTCCGTAAAGAATAAACATTAGTAAACTGATCATCACAATTGTCAAACTTACATGTAATAGTGGAATTTAACATAAACTTATGTTTTAACCTTATATGTTGCATGACAAGGTCCATGGTTATAAATATTTTTTCGCAAAAAAAACAATTCATTTTGAAAGAAGATTTGTCTATCGACCAATTTCAGTATTTAAAGTCAAAAAAATAAATATAATTAAAACCTGCAAAATTCGGCGTATTACAAACTCACTAATATGATAAAGAAATAAAGAAAATGAAGAAAATCCACAGCCAAATATAATTTAAACAGAATAGACCATACAAAAATTTAATTTTCTTAAATACATAATTTCACAATCCTTATCATGCATTTTTCGACAGCATAAAGAGAAGCTCTTTTATAAACTCCATCTATTTTTTTCATTGTTTTCGGAGGTATTAGATGAGGTAAAAGTTTAAACATCGTTAATATTTTTTTGTCTAAAACATATAATAGATTTTTTTTCATCAGATATGTTGATATTTGTAATAACGTATAAATAATAATAAAAAAATAAATACCATTATTCAAGTCTTCTTCTTTTATTTTATTGAGCATTTAATATCCATCGTCATCATTAGGATCAATCGAAAAATTTTGAAGAATGATATTGAAAAAACGTTTAAAATTTGATTCGCTTAAAGCAACGTTTGAGAGAGACATTTTGCTGAAATCTTGGATTATGAGGTTATAACCTTGTGGATATTTGTAATGTATCCATTTAGAAAAAATATTAGACAAATTTTTATCTTGATTATTGTACAGATCTTTTTTTCGTTGTAGACCAATGTAATAGAACCTCTATCCAAGGAGCACCATTAGCCTCTAACCATTTCATACTTTCAACAACTTTTTCTATAAAAAATAAAAAATTTTGCAACAGCTAAATTTAAATATTATACATACATATTATGTATAAATATTATACATATAACTGAATAAATATAATGCTACCATCTGGAACATCGTTCGCAACCTCTCCTATTGTTTTTTCAATTTCGCCATAAAATTTTTTATTCCTGCTTCTCTTATTTCTCCACATTGATAACCAACCAATTTACCTTTAGATGCTTTAGATTTGTTATCTATTGCATTTTTCTTTTTTATTGGAGAAATATAATAAGTTTTTACAACTTCAGTTGGAAAAGTCTCACAAATTTTTTCAGCGACATATTTTGCTATATCATTTGGCAACCTGTGAAAGTATGTACTACGATAACTATGATCACTATGATATTCAATATTAAATAAATAAAATGAATTGTACAAACTTACTCTGAAAATCTTTCATCAATATAAGTAAGTACTATATCGCAAATTTTATTTCTTTGAGCTTCAGTGAAGTTTTTTTGTTTTTCATAAGCTGTAATAATTCTTAAACCTAATTTTTGTTTCGAGAGAATTTCTTTTATTGATAAAAAAGTATTTTTAATAAATTCTGATTTTCCTACAAAACAATTTTCTCTCTTCAATTCATTTTCTTTTTCAATATTTGAAGTAGTAGTAATTAAGTCTGCATCAGTATTTTCATAATCTAATTTCTGGAAGTTAAAATCGCAGAATAGTATATATGTAACATAAATAAACAACAAGAACTTATAAATTTATTCTGAAACTTTAAATTTTAAAAGAAACAAATCGGTTTTACCCTTTTTTTAAATGTAGGCTGTGCATCTTTTTCTTTATTTTCAGAACTTATTAATGGCCTGCTAAAATTACGTTGCCAATATTCAATAAAAATGGCTCTATCACCTATTGTTTGGATCAATTCGTTGATCATAGGTATTGTCAAATTTTTTAATGCCTTTATATTAATTCGCTCTTCTATAAAAATAAGATTTTACATTTGTATAAAGAAGTTTATCTTAGCACGAGTCCATGAATTAAATATTAAATAAACAATAATTACTTACTTGTGAATGTATCAATCAGAATTTCCAAATCCAAATTTCGTAGTATCTCCTTAACTTCGTCATCAGCCATACTATCTTTTTTTACTATCTTCTTACAGGTAGAAAGTACTCGAGTCTATCAGTCGAAAAGCACACATGTGCCCAATTCGCTAGATCTTCAGTAAAAAAATACAATACGCATTTTACGCAGTTAATCCGATCCAAGAAAAGCAACAATGTCGAGAAATGTCTACTTACCTTGCTCGCAAAAAGTCGCTCGCAGCTTGCACTGTTACTTGTCTTACAAGTAACGTACCTTTTGCGTATTTACTCTCGATGGTTCGCGCCTTCAATTTCCAGCGGTTTATGTCACACGCGAATATAGCCTTCGTCTTACTTGCACGTTTGGTCAAAATAAAACCACGATGCATCGATCAAGATGCGTTCACTCACTTTAACCGTGCCCGATTGTTAATTCATGTGCTCGTGATCGTTCACTTGTCTCGGTCGTTGTCGTGGTTTGCGATGTTTTTTTGTCTAACATGCCCACTCGGGATTTTGCGTATCAATCGGCTGCGTCGCTCGCATATATTGATTTTACCGACTCGCGTAATCAAAGATATCATCGTCAGTTAATATCGACTGATATCGAAATTTTGAGACACTTATTTTGAAAAAATATTTAACATTAAATTAAAATGTAAATCAAATAATATTTATTAAAGTTCTTACAAAGATTCTTTAATTTCAAACAAATACATTTTGTATTTGAGTCAAATAATCTTTACAAAATAGTACATTATTATTAAGTAAATTAAAAAATTGGTTTGAAAAAATATTTATTTAAGTCTATTTCTTTAATTTAATTATATCAGATTTTTCAATTTTAGAGAATAAATTATTCAATTTGAATAAAGATTATCTTAATCAAAGTTATTTATTATTTGTTTTAAAATTATTTCACATTGAATTAAACCTTTCTCTAACTTGTCTACATATATATTTAAAGTAAGTCATTGTTTATTACAATCTGATAAACGACCTCTTAATGTGACTATATCATATTTGAATTAATATATTTATTTGAATTGAGTAAATTTTATTTTCAGTGTATAGGCGTGTTATATGGCGATTGTGAGTGTTTTACAATTCCTCCTTCTAACAGTTCTTCTACCTGCTTGTTTATTTCCTCTTTATGAATTTGCGGAAATCGATACTGACGAGTGTTTATTGGTTGGTCATCTGTAGTAGGTATTCGATGTTGTAATACGTGAGTTGCGGTTAATTTTTCTCCAGGAATATGAAATCGATCTTGACTGTCCGTTATTAATTTTATAATGCTTTTTCTCTCTGCTTCATTTAAATGTTCTAATCGCAATGATTCTATGATTTCGGCAGGTCGATTCTTTCCTTTTTCTTCGGAGATTGTTAGACAATTATGCAAATTATAATTATCAACTTCTTGTTTTCTTTTATATCTTGTTTTGCGTTTCCGCATAAATTTTTCTAAAATTTCTTGAGAGTTATTCAACAAGGATATAAGAATTCTTGAAGACGGTTTATTTTTATTTTTAATATTTCGTAGATTCGAATCTTTAATTTTTAAATTATATTTTCGAGCCTCTTCAAGGAGGTCTTTCATTGCAACATGAGAGGTTTTTAGTTCATTATCATTTTTTTCTTTAAATAATCCAACCTTAGGAAATTTGATATCTAGGGAGAATAAAGGACTTCTCCTTTTTTTGAAATAAGGTTTTGCCGAAATACGTAGTGAGGTTTTATAATTTTCCTCCTCGCAATCGACGGAGCTAGGATTTTCTGACAAGGTTTGGAAATTTCCCTCCGAAATCCTAGAATTATTCCCTTCTTGAGAGGATTGGTAATTTCTCTCTTCAAGGGTTTTTAAATTAATTAAATTTTTAGGAGAGGTTTGGTAATTTCCCCCTCCAGGAATGGTTGGATTTATTAGATTTTCAGAAGAGGTTTGATAATTTCCCTCTCCAAAGATTTTTGAATCATTCAATTCTTTATTTTTCCTCTCGGTTTTATTTTTGATCTTGTCTTTATTTTTAATTTTATTTTTATTTTTATTTCCTTCTTCATTTAAGGTTTTTTCTTCGTCTTCATAATTAGTTTTTTCGATAATAATATTTTCTTCATCCACATTTTCACTTTCATTTTCAATGTTCATATTATTTTCATAATCGTCGAATCCGTAAGTAGTTTCTTCTTCCTTATTCCTCGGTTCTTTTGAACTATTTAGAGCCTCAATTTTTGAGTCATGGTCGTCTAATAATTCGCTCAATGGTTTTAGGCGCAAAGTCGGAACATGTACTTCCGCCTCTTCATCTAAAGTACTTATAACGTTTAAATATGCCTTTCCGGCAACGTTCTCCACGATGGTGTCTCCCAAATAAATTCCATGTGCCACCTTTAGTCTCGGTATATATCCTACTTTTAGTTCTGGATTTTCTATTCTTACATAAAATAATGATTCGGATCGCGGAGCTACTATAATGGCTTCAGGTGATAAGAAAGGTATGTTGATTCCGGATACATCCAAGTGCCCTTGTGCATAATCTATTTTCGATGAGGTTTGTTTAAAGAAATCGTTTCCTAATATGCCGGATTGTGAAATTGGAAAATCGTTAGATACAATATGAAATATAACCGGTATTTCAAAAAGAGTTAATGTAATTTCACCTAAGGTGTACACAGGATAATTATTTATACCGTTCAACTTGAGGATATTAGTATAATTAATATTTATTTCTTCGGGAACGAGATTTTCTTTAATTATATTAGGTCCAGATCCCGTGTCTAGCATAAAAGTTATACTAGTAGTTAAATTATCGATGTTGATTTGAACGGTAGGCACGCGACTATGTTTGTCGAGGTTTACAGTCACGGGCCTTATGGTAGTTCTGTCCTTGTCTACTTGGCTACCTGAGTTTTGGACGGGTGCGGCTCTCGTTCGGACCCCTGCTGTGCACCCGACGTCGAGGGGCCGTTGTAGTTTCCCTGATTATTTTCCTTTTTTCGAAAGTTACTGGCATGGCGTAATTGACAATTTTCGAGAAGATGACCTTGCTCCTTGCAATAGCGGCAGAATAAAGAATTCCTAGATCCCGTTTGCTGGTTTAGTTTTGATCGACAATCTTTAGCAATGTGTCCGAAGTTGTTGCAAATTTGACAAGTTACGCGAGTTTTATTTCCCGCATAACGTTGTTCGTTCTGTTTCTTCCAACAATTATTTGCAGAATGGCCGGGTCTTTCGCACCATTGACAAATTACCGAGATTTTATTGTTATTAGTTGTATTATTCTGTCGGCAAGATTTTGCATCATGACCGGATTTTAAGCATAATTGGCAAGTTATTAATTTCCCTTGAACTACGTTTACTGGTCGGCGTTGCTGTGGATCGCGAAAGCGGCATTTCTCTGCTCCATGCCCACGTTTTTTACAAATTTGACATACTAATATCGCGGTTCCTAAATCAATTTGGTTGTTAACTTGTTGAGATGTTTGTAAATATTTCTTGCAGTTACTGCCTACGTGCCCTTCTTTATAACAAATCCGAAGATCCGAAGGGCATTCTATTGTATTCGTAATGCCCGTGAGGTGTGGAAAAGGCAGTTTTGCATTTGTCGCCCTCTTCCATCGTGGTATCCGATCTACTTTATTTTAGCATCGCAGTATTAATTATTGTGGTGTCGGTTTCTATCTCTACTGTTACATTTGATTCGCTTGCGGTGCCGTAGATGTGCTCTTGAATTATTTTTGGTTTGCATATCGGATTTATATTGAGGTTTTTCTGACGCATTGGCTTTCTTAGGGACTACCAATTACGGTGCGTTCCATTGGCTCATGCTTGGTCGGATTATTTTATTTTTTAACATTTCTCGGACTTGTCGATTTACTTCCTCTTTATGCTTCTCCGGCAGGTGGTAAGGCCGTACGTTGACCGGTGAGCTATCTGCTTGCGCGATTGTGTTGGTGCAAGTCAGTGGTTCTCCTTCGATGTGGAATATATCGCTGTAATTTTCGCATATCTCTTTTATTGCTTTTAATTCCTCCTTATTTAAATGGTCGATTCGAAGGGCTTGTGTTACCTTTTCGGTACGCGGGATGTCATCTTCTCCTTTTTTCGCTTGTGTGGCGTTTATTTCCACCGTGTTTTCTTGTGCGATTTCTTCAATTGTTACTTGCGGCATTAACATTTCGATTATGTTATCCGTTGTATTTATTACACTTGCGGGACATAGATAATTTTGTAGGTCGACCAGATAGCTTCCTATAAATACTCCTGGTGCGGCTTCTTCTGCCTGAATGA